AAAAAAAAAAAAAAAAAAAAAAAAAAAAAAAAAAAAAAAAAAAAAAAAAAAAAAAAAAAACACACACACACACACACACACACACAAGATTCCTGTTGTTGCTGCTGCTGTTGCTGTTGCTGCTGCTGCTGCTGCTGCTGTTGCTGCTGCTGCTGCTGCGGTGGTGATTGTAGTGGTCTAATACTGGTGCTGCACAGCGATAGGGAAAAAACAACCCAACAGCAGCAACAGCAGCAGCAGCACAAGCAGCAGCAGCAACAGCAACAGCAGCAGCAGCAGCAGCAGCAGCAAATAATTACCTTAGTCTCTATAATATTTTCTCCTTCTTCCTCTACAACAACTAAAGATCTCCATCTTTTTGTCCCTTCTCCTCCCCTAATTAAGGTGTCTCCTCCTGTCCCTTTTATTTGTCTCCTTAAGGACACCAAAGAAAGCCCCAAAAGTGCATGCACACCCTCAGAGGGGACCCCAGGGGGGCCCCCAAAGGGGCCCTCGGGGGGGCGCCTAGGAAGTTCCTCAAGGTGACCCCGATGGGGGCCCCCAGGGGGGCCCCTGCTAGGGGCCCCTAGGAGACCCCCACACAGGCAATTAAGATATTTAGGGGGCCTCTCATATACAGACTGGCGGAGAAGGCCTCGAGGGGCCCCCAGGGTTGGAGAAGAGAAGAGGGTACACGGACTTGTTATAACCTGGGGGGCCCCCCAAGGGAGTGGGGGGCCCCCACGAGGGGGCCCAACAGAGGCCCTAAGCCTTTCAAGGGGGAAGGGCCCCTTCATGTGGAGCAGAGAGGTAGCAAGAAATCCATTACGACCCAACAAACCCTAAACCCTAGACCCTAAACCCTAAACCCTAGGACACAAGGGGGGCCCTATGTGTGCCTTCCCCTTTATCCCCCTCTTCTTTGCTCTAACACTTAAACAAAAAACTCTAAGTACTGAATATTGAACTATAAACCCTAAACCCTAAACCCTAAACCCTAAAGGAAGTATGCATGTATTGCCTGTTGTATGGGGCTTCGAGAGGGGCCCCCTACTGGGGGCCCCCTGCTGACGAGGGTTTGCTGATTAAGGGAGAAGAAGAGGGAAGTTTTCTCTATTATTTATTTTATTTTTTATATTATTATTAATTAGTGTTTATTTATATTTTATTTTAACCCTTACGTTGTCCGGTACCCTTCTCCTCCTCTCCTCTTTCCCCCCCCCTAAACCCTAAACCCTAAACCCTAAACCCTAAACCCTCGTGATGTCAATTGGTGATTAATGATTCGTGGATCTAAAACGAGTACCTTTGATGTCCTAAGAATCCACCTACAAATTCCTAAACCCTAAACCCTAAACCCTAAACCCTCGTGATGTCGATAATTCGTACACCTGGTGAATTATTAGGGTCTGCAGCAGACTATGAGGCAGGAGAAGGAGTAATAAATATAAGAGGAACCCTTCGTGCCTCTGCATTAGGCAAACAAATTATTACTCAACCCTCTAAACCAAATGTAATATCAAGCCCCAAATTCCCCGGCATGCATGCACGTATATGTATGCATGCATGCATGTATATGTGTATAATGCATGCATGCATGCATGCATGCATGCATTACCCCATCGCTATGCACTGTCTGTATCCTTATGCATGTAATTATGTATGTATATATATATGTATATGTATATATATGCATATATTTATATTTACCTGTTTATTTAGTTACATATACATATATATACATATAAGTATAAATACATACGTATATACTTGCTTGTACAAAAAACCCTAAACCCTAAACCCTAAACCCTTTTTGTTGTTTATTCTTTTTAGGGTTTGGCGGTCATCTCCGTCGTTCGCGCCTACAAGAGTTGCGTTACGGTGGCTAGGGTTGGTTCTCTTGTCTTAGGCCAGGTAAACCCTAAACCCTAGGAAACCCTAAACCCTAAACCCTAGGAATTCATAGGCAGCTGCAGGCATCTTCCCTATAATCCACACAGGATCGTAAACCTTGTTGCAAGCCCTGCTTCTGAGGGTTTAGGGTTTCGGATCTAGGGTTTAGGGTTTAGGGTTTAGGGTTTGTGTATACAGATAACAGCCCTAAATAGGATGTTAGCTGAAGTTGCTGTCTTGGCTGTTGATGGTCATGTCCTCCCTGAGCCATTCAAGGGAGCCATCAGGTAAGGGTTTAGGGTTTAGGGTTTAGGGTTTAGGGTTTGGGCTATCCGTGGCGAGTTACTTAGCGGCATACCAGACCTCAGTCTATACTGGTTTGGGAGGTTTAGGGATTAGGGTTTAGGGTTTGGGGATTTATGGGGTTAGGGTTAGGGTTTGGGAATTAGGGTTTAGGGTTTAGGGTTTAGGGTTTGTTATAGGGCACAAGACGTAAGGGAGACAGTTACTGAGGACTTTGATATGGCGGAGTGTTTTCAGCCATCAGACGTTGTGCGTGCAGAAGTGGTAAACCCTAAACCCTAAACCCTTATAAACCCTTATAAACCCTTATAAACCCTTATAAACCCTTATCCTGTATATCTTGATCCTCTATCTAGTGTTTATATGTCTAAGTCCTTGTGTGCAACATTTTATATAATAGTTTGTATAATTCCCTCCAAAAAAAAGGGTTTAGGGTTTAGGGTTTAGGGTTTAGGGTTTAGGGTTTGTGTGGTTTCAGCTATCTGTAGACGGTCGTGTATATCTATTAGGAACAGCAGCAGAAGAATTTGGTGTTTTATGCGCGGATAGTAAGAGAGGAGGAGCACTACAACCTGTCTCTTCTTCCTTAATGAGGTGTAGTGTTACTGGACAATTAGAGAGAAGGTA